GTTGAATTGCATGAGGTGAGAATTTGTAGTACTAATCACATACTCCGGTAAGCATGAACTTGGCAATTCTATTACGAGAATGGCTACTCGCGCACTGGGAGTGGAGAGATGGCGAGAATAAGCGTGTACCCACGTGGCAATGGGCTGGATTGGTGGAGTCTTGTATTCTCGGGTGTATGGACCCGTTCTTGTTTTAGAGGATCCGAGAATAGGTTGGTATATGTAGGTCGAGGGGACCTGCATATGTCGTGGTGGTCTGGAATCCCAATTTGGGTTTATAATCGGTTCGAATCGTCGTTGCTCCTCGGTTATGGAGACTCAACTCACCATTCATCATCGTAGAATTAATAAGCGGAACTTGAGAATGGTTGATGAAGGTGTTGGATATGAAGTTTCATGATCTCATTACGGATCGTGTCATCTTTGTATATGATTTTATGAAGTTTAAACTGTTGAAACAAAGAATTTTGTCAAAGAGCTTTTACGCAAAATAACTTTGATTATTGCTAAAACCATACCTTGAATCCCTGAGCCTGCATTCCTGAGTTATCAGTTCTTATTTCGGTTAAGTCTTGTTGAGTACTTTTGTACTCAGGGTTCGTTGACCCTTGTTGCAGGTGAGCCTCATGAGCAGATCTGTTTTGGATCGTGCTACATGACAGTTGTACCTTGTGATGGCGTTGAGAAGTAATTGTGTGGCCCTTGGGCAGGGCAGCCTCATTGTGTGTTTTGTATTATATTATAATGTCGCTCCACTACTTTGGTTTGTATTAATATCGAACTTAGTTGTATGGTTTGAAACAAATGGTTTGTAAACTATGTTATTGTAAGTCTTCCGCTACTTTTACTCTGATGTGTCTATTTGAATAAACTGTTGTAATACTACAATGACTCTGTAACGTGATCCTGCTCGGAAATCATGGATGATTCGGGGTTCCCCGAGGACACCCGATAGACTTCTTAAGTTACCAGGAACATATGCATTGTTGTCAAAGGTCTTTGGACAGTGACAAATGTATGTGGGTCCTATAATTTAGGAGGTTCTGCCACAGCGTGGTAGATTCTGTGGAACCCAACCACTTTGAAGGTGAGAGTCTCCATCCTATAGTTGGATAGACCCCCGAAGGTGATGGGTAGATCGATCTGCCCCAGTGGCATGGCCTGCTTTCCAGGCACAATGCCGTGGAAAGGTGCTCCGATTGGTCGGATGCGTGCTCGATCGATGCCCATAGCATTGAGCGTCTCGGCGTACATGATATTGAGGCCGCTGCCTCCATCCATCAGTACCTAGGTGAGCCACTTTGTGCCGATGATTAAGTAGACCATGAGCGGGTATCTCCCAGGTTGCGGGATGTTCTCTGGGTGGTCGGTCCGATCGAAGGTTATGGCACACTCTAACCATCGGAGGAAGGTAGGCGTGGCCGGCTCGGTCGTATAGACCTCACAGCGCGCGAGCTTCTAACGGCGCTTGGAGTCGAAGGCTGCCGACCCTCCGAAGATCATGAGGCAGCCATCCAGTGTTGAAAAGCCGCCATCCTTCCCCTCAGCGTCGTCCATGGTCGGATCAGGGTCCTTTTCGCGCTCCCCTTTGTTGGAGCCTCTGGACAAGAACCACTTCATGAGGTCACAATCCTTGTACAGATGCTTGATGGGGAAGGAATGGTTCAGGAATGGCCCCTCGAGTAGCTTCTTGAAGTGGTTCAGAGTGCCCTCCGTGGGCTTCCGACCACCCTTTCGGTCAGCGGCGGCCACGAGCGAGCCCTCACACCGCTGCTTGTTCTTCTTCTTGGCAGGACGGTTGGAGGCGCCTTCGCCGACGTCCTCGTCCCATTTTGCCTTGCCCTTGAGGCGGACGAAGATCGCTCCGACCGTCTCTTCGCATGAGGCGTGGCTGGTGGCGATGTCGAGGAACTTCTTGGTGGTTCGTGGGCTCTTGCGTCCCAGCTTGTGAAGCAGGGACTCACGGGTGGTCCTAGATAGGAAAGCTCCTATAACGTCGGCGTCAGCGACATTAGGTAGCTCGTTGCACTGCCGGGAGAAGCGCCGGATATACTCACGAAGGGTTTCCCCGGCCTTCTATCAGTAGTTCTTGAGATCCCATGGGTTCCTAGGGCGCTTGTATGTGCCCTACAAATTTTCCACGAAGATCTCTTTCAGGTCCGCCCAACTTTGGATTCTGTTGGGCGGATGGTGTTCCAACCATGTTTGCGCCGAATCGGCCAGGAACAATGGAAGGTTGCGGATAATGAAATCGTCATTATCCGCTCCACTGGCTTGGCAGGCAAGCCGATAATCCTCGAGCCACAATCCGAGGTTCATTTCCCTAGAGTATTTAGAGATGTTGCTCAGTGGTCGGTACCTTGGTTAGAAGACAGCGTTGAGGATGTGTCGATCGAAGGCCTGAGGCCCCGACAGGCTAGGGCTCGAGCTTCGGTCCTCGCCGCTGTCGTAGCATCCGCCATGACGAGAGTGATAGCCATGGCTAGCTCCCTCTCTTAGGTCATCATAGGTACACCTACTGGTGTCGAGGGTGCCGTGTGCATCTCGATTGCGTTCGAGACGCTGATGCATCGGGACCGCAGTGCGCTGTCTGTCTCCTTGTGGCGCCTGGTGGACTGATGCATCCTTGCCGGGGCGTTCTGAGGGCGTGCGCTGGCTGGCATCGAGCTCGCGTCATCGAGATAGAGAGCTCTCGGCCTACTACGCAGCCGCACGCTCGAGCAACGTGCTAATCTCACGGTGGGCCCATCGATCCTCAGGCGTCACAGGCCTAGAAGCCCCCTGAGCAAGGCTGCCACAACAGCGATGTTCTGGCTTACTCGGGCGAAGTGTAGAAGTGCTTGATCATCCTCAACGATCCTTCGGTTCACATCACGGTCCATAGCGCGTGCGCCCCCCGTCTCCGGGCAACTCTAGTTCCTTTGCGAGGAGGTCATGGAAAGACTCTGCGACGTGTTCGATCACCCCTACAAACTCATCATTCGTGGTGGATGGAATTGTGCGTTGCGCCACAAGGTGATCAACGGTCTCTGCGGTGTTGCGGAGACCGAACGGGAGCACTGTCGGGGCGCTCCGGGTGAGGTATTTCGAGGAGAGTGGCTCTCCCCCAGTAAGCTATGCCATGACATTCGCGAACGAGAAGGTGAGGTTGCGTAGTCCCTCCCTAGACAGTTGGGATCCTAGGAAGACGATGAGCTGACGCTCCAACCTCCCGCAGTCGTAGTCGAGAAGCTGGCCACTCCCATGGGCGCGGGCCTCCGGCGCACGCAGCCGCAGCTCCTCAAGCGCCTCGGTAATCGCATCGAGGCCGGCGGAGTGGAGGGGCTGAACAACGACGGGCGCCCGCGCCAGCTCTCCCTCCGCCGTGACGATGAAGTCTAGGTCCCCGAAGCGCACGTGTGCGCCCGGGACCCAGTTGATGCCGTGACTAGCCATCCGAGGCCTGGTGTTGATGTTGAGACACGCAAAGGCCCCTACCTAACGCACCAACTATCAGTGTTTTGAGTAAACACCAACGAGTAAATTTATATTATTACGCGTCTGGCCCAGATGGTGTGCTAAGAAGACACAAGGTTTATACTGGTTCAGGCAGAATGTCCCTACATCCAGTTCGTGGTTGCTGCTCGTGTTACTAGGATTAAAAGTTCGTAGTAGGGGTTACAAATAGTCGAGAGATGGATATGTCCCAAGTCTCTGGTGGTGTGTTGTGATGAATTCCGATTGGTTCGGATCGAGTGTCCATTGTGCAATGTGATATGCGAGGGATCGTTTGTCCGATGTCCCTTAGTGGGGTGTCCTGTCTTCCCTTTTATAATCAAAGAAAAAGCACGGGTTATAACGGGAGAAAAGAGAAGAACGAGATGGAGAGAAAAGTCCTTTAAGGTCGTCGGACCTTTCCTTTCCTCGGTGCGGGCCCCGCAGACACGACAGGTGGTGACAGGGACAGCCCCACGCTGAACGCCTGTCCACCTGATGATGCCATGCCTTGGTGTTGTCAGCGGGTCATGACGTTCCATCTCGCCCCGGCGGGCGGCGTGGCGACCTAGCATGCTGATCAGTGACCATACAGGGAGTAGGCAACACAGTGACCACGTGCCCGTCACTGTAGACGATGTGAGTCCCTTGGAATGACATGTCGCGGGGATGGGTCGTGTTCAGACGTGACTGCTCCCTACACGACCCCAGAAGTTTGACCTTGGATTATACTTTCTGGCCCGTAGTGGTTGGCGGCGATGTGAACTTCCGTCAGGAGCCGTGTCTGAGGGATCGGGCGAGGCGGAGCCAACCCTCAGACGTCGGGCGAGGCGGAGCTTGCCCTCAGACGTCGGGCGAGGAGGAGTCAGCCCTCGGACGTCGGGCGAGGCGGAGCCCGCCCTCGGGAGTCGGACGAGGCGGAGCCGACCCTCAGACGTCGGACGAGGTGGATCCCGTCCTCAGACGTCGGACGAGGCGGAGCCCAACCTCAGAGGTCGGACAAGGCGGAGCCCATCCTCGGGGATCGGACGAGGCGGAGCCCGTCCTCGGGGATCGGACGAGGCGGAGCCCAACCATCGGAGGAATCAACGTTGATGGTTATTAGCTCCTCCTCTTCGAATACACTAATATTGGTCCTCGACAGTAAGGTATTTTCATACCTGCAAATTTTTTACCCGTAGGCACAAAATCAAACACGCACATATGTCCATATGTACAAAATGGTATCTGTATCTGTATCCTCACCCTAACGGGTTTTTACCCACGGGCATGCGGATGATTTGTACCCATCCATGACTATGATCGGCTAGGAACGGTTAGTTGGGCTGACTGACCAGTGTCTCACGTAAACATTGTTCACACGAACCAGCCAACTGCAAGTAAACGAACCTAGAAGGAACCAGACAAGCTGCGGAACGGACTGCGTACTCGCGACCTAACCCGGAGTCCCCGACACAGCTGACTCCCTCGAAGCCTCGTCCTCATCCGTCGTCACCGGTTGCTTCCCGCCGCCGCCTTGCGCCTCCATGCTCTCTCAGGTACCTCCTCCACCGCCCCGCGGCCGTCCCCTCCTCCGAACGGCTCGATCGTCACTAGGCATCACCAGCACCGCGTAGTACGCCCAACGAACCCTAGATCCACTGCTGGATCATCCGGGAGGCAGCTGCCTGCTGCTTGATTGCTTCTTCTCTGAGCGATCTGATTAGTTGCATTCTGACCCCTTGTGGTGATGCTTGGTTGGTGGTTTCCTGGATTTGCCTGTAGATGATCTAGAAGTTAGTATGTTGGTGTGGAGTCAAAATTGATTGGTTGTGTTACATCCTTGATGAATGATGCTTGATTGGTGCTCTTCTGGATTTGCTGTGGAGATGATCTGGAACTTATGATACTGGTAGATCTAGTTATTATACTATAGTTATGCTGTCAAGCATATACTTTTGAGTGAGTAGTATAGATTATAAGACATGTAGTGCAATATAACAAAACATTTTGGGATGGGAACTAAGTGGTCTGCAACTGTGTCAAGATGCTGCTCTTAGTTCCTTTCCACCTTTTGTTTCAGATCTGTTTTCATGATGTTGAACTAGGTTGCTTGATCATGACTGTGCTCTTTTGTTGCTGTGTGGGCTTGTTCTTTTAATCTTATGGTATTTATTGCAGCAAGTTGCTTGAAGAATCAGTATATGTAGTTGTAGCGCATTTTTGTATGGTCAGTTCTATTCAGCTTAGATATAATGCATTTCGTGCTGTGCTGATCAAAGTCTCTTTCATTTGTTTTTAGCAATGATGGGAACAGAAGGCATTGCAGCCACAGTCATTGAGGACCCCGAACCCTCGATTCCGCCTGGATTTGGACCTTTCGCTGCCCCGGCATCATGGGGAAACGATGTTAAACCTGCTGATGCTCATTCTAGTTCTGTTTTAGCATTACAGAGCATCGACGACGATGTGGAAATTTTGGAATATCTATCCAGTTCAGTGGATCGCAAGAGTGACACAGGTTGCAGTATTTCTGGGAGCAATACCTGTAGGAAATCACTGCGCAATAGACCTCCAATAGATTATAGTCGCTTTGATCAGATTGCGTATGAAGATTCTGATGCTGAAGTAGCAGACAAGGTTGCACTTAATTTACTATTCCATCCTTATTTCTTCACCAGTTACCTGAATTTTATCATGATGTTAATGGCTCGCACAATATTGCTCAACTCTATGGATAGGGTGTAAGTTCAGTGAAACATAGACAACAATTCCCTAAAGGAGTACTTCGAGGATGTCCAGAATGTGCCGATTGTCAAAAGGTTTGTGTAATTCTGAAAATTGATGGATAGCGTCCACAAAGGTGTTGTTGTGTTGCTTATATCACATCACATCATTCAGGTTATTGCAAGATGGAATCCATCTGGTGCACGTAGGCCTGTTCTTGATGAGGCTCCTGTTTACTATCCTACCGAGGAGGTCTGTTGCCACATTGTATTGTATCAGTACTTTCACTGCACTGAATTTGTTTTTGCATACACTAATCTTACGATATCTTCTTATGGATCAGGAATTCCAGGACACCTTAAAATACATTGAGAGTATCCGCCCAACAGCAGAACCATATGGGATATGCCGTATTGTTCCACCAGCTTCATGGAAGCCTCCATGCCTTCTTAAAGAGAAAAACATTTGGGAATGCTCAAAATTTTCTACTCGGGTACAGAAGGTTGACAAGCTCCAAAATCGTAAATCGTCCAAGAAGAGCAGAAGAGGTGGAATGATGAAGAAGCGTAGAAAGATTTCAGAGACTGAAGAAATCAATCACAATCAAATTGGAATGCAGCAAAACCAAGAGAGATTTGGATTTGAACCAGGACCAGAGTTCACACTACAGATGTTTCAAAAGTATGCAGATGACTTCAGTGATCAGTATTTTATGAAAGATAAATGCAGAGATTCACCACTGTCAGTGGAAGATATCGAAGGCGAGTATTGGCGCATAGTTGAAAGGCCAACAGAAGAGATAGAGGTATAAAAAAACTTAGCAAAGAGTATCTATTGCCATTGCAATTTAAGCTTTTGAAAATGCAATTGTGTCAGTCCTGGATTTTTGACATTTTCCAATAATGGCCGTGTTAGAGAATTTCTTGTTTAGTTTGCAGTTAAGCTCTTACTGCTGTATATGATTTCTGACATGCATGTAGTTCTAAATAGTCATAGCACTTGCATGTGATATCTTACTTGGTAGCGTCTGTGTTTACATATACAGGACTAGTTATGCTACTTTCTAACTGATCAGAAAATCCATTCTCATATAGGTAATATATGGTGCCGATTTGGAGACTGGAACTTTTGGCAGCGGGTTTCCAAAGTTATGTCCTGAAATGAAATCTGATGTGGAGGATAAATATGCACAATCTGGGTGGAATCTAAATAACTTGCCTAGACTACAAGGTTCAGTTCTTTCTTTTGAAGGTGGCGACATTTCTGGTGTTTTAGTGCCTTGGGTTTATGTAGGCATGTGTTTTTCATCTTTCTGCTGGGTAAGATGCTTGTGATATTCTCTTTAGTTTCATAGTTTGTGATTGATGTCATTGATTATGGAAGCTTTATTATGGACTTATCGTATCCATCCTGAGATATTTCACTGATTTGAATTGTTCTTGTTGACAGCATGTTGAAGATCATCATTTGTACTCACTGAACTACATGCATTGGGGTGCTCCAAAGATGTGGTATGGAGTTCCGGGAAAGGATGCTGTGAATTTGGAGGCTGCAATGAGGAAACATCTTCCTGAGTTGTTTGAGGAGCAACCTGATTTGCTTCACAACCTAGTAAGTTTTCTCTCTTGGTGATTTTTTTTTCTCAAACAATAGTTTCAGGTATAAAGCTTCCCTAGATAATGGTTAACTATGGATTATACTTATGTGACTATTCTGTGATTATGTTTTTGCACTTCTTAGGCATTTCAAACTCTTCTTCCCTCGTATATGCAAATTACAAACATATATATTCCTAAATGAAAATGCTAATTCCTTCTGCAGGTTACTCAGTTTTCACCTTCATTGCTTAAATCTGAAGGAGTACCAGTCTACCGTTGTGTTCAGCATGAGGGAGAGTTTGTCCTGACATTCCCACGGGCATACCATGCTGGTTTTAATTGTGGCTTCAATTGTGCAGAAGCTGTTAATGTGGCACCCATTGATTGGTTGCCAGTTGGACAAAATGCTGTTGAGCTTTATCGTGAACAAGCTCGGAAAATAACTATCTCCCATGATAAGCTGTTGCTTGGGGCTGCAAGGGAAGCAATAAGAGCTCAATGGGAGGTCCTATTTCTCAAGAGGAATTCTGCTGATAACTTGAGGTGGAAAAGCATATGTGGACCTGATAGCACAATATGCAAGTCACTGAAGGTAAATGCCAGCGACAATATATAACTACGTAATTAGTGTCAGTTGTTTCAATTTCAGTGGAATCTAATATTTTTTAAATCACTCTACTTAGGCACGAATTGAAATGGAGTTGGCACAAAGACAAAATATATCCTCTCCATGTCAATCTAGGAAAATGGATACCGAATTTGATTCTACTGATAGGGAATGTGCATTGTGCTACTATGATCTGCATCTTTCAGCTTCTGGATGTCCATGCTCCCCAGAGAAATATGCTTGCCTGGTACATGCAAAGCAGCTTTGCTCATGTGATTGGAACAAAAAGTTTTTCCTATTTCGTTATGATGTCAATGAGTTGAATATCTTAGCTGATGCTTTAGGGGGAAAGCTAAGTGCCATTCACAGATGGGGTGTCTCTGATCTTGGATTAAGTTTGAGCTCGTGTGTTAAACGGGAAAAGGTCCAAGATTCTAAGACTGTTCGCAGATTAACTGATGGCCCAAGACGGTCCTACATGTCACAGGCATCAACAGTATCGTTGGTTCCTCCTTCTGTTAGCACTGAACAGAAAAACAATGAAAATAAGACACTGGATTTAGGTTGTCCAGTTACGAATTTACTTAAAATAAGTTCTGCGGCAAATAATGCGTGTCCTTTGACAAAGCAGATAAAATCAGAAAATGTCTCACAGCTAAAGGAGCCATGTGTGAAGAATGAATTATCATGTCCGACCAGCAATGGTACCAGCCGACAACATAATGGAGGGATTGGAGGCCACAAAGTTGCAGCACCAAGCTTGATGGTTCCTTCTGGTCAATCATTTCCTGCAAATGCTGTGACAAGACCCTTAATTACTTCAGGTGAATCCGTGAGAAGTACGCATGGCTTGGCAGTATTTAAAGAGAGTAGAGAAACCTCTTGCCAAACTGGAGACTGTACATCTTCACTTACACTTAGGGAGTATCATAACAGGCCACTGTCAATGATTGATAATGGAGCTAACATGAAGCCAGATCTGGAAAACTTAGACAATTCTCATAGGTTGATGGCATCATCAGACTTCAATGCAACTCTATGTCATTCTTACAAAGATCAAACATTCTTAACACCGGAAACTAATACCTCAGTGATGACTGAGAAAGATAGCAGTCAGGCCCGTACTGCAAGCCAGCAGTTTGTCAATACTGCTTCAAGAACACAAAATGTGTCTCAGGAACCATTGTGTAGTGTCACTGCTCCAAAGCAACTCATAGATCCTCAAGTTGTGAAAAATTCATATGGTGTTTTTGGTTCATGCAGTGTCCATCTTGGGCATCCAACCGTTGGTAATCAGCAACTAAATGAGAGATGGCATCAAAGACAATCTGATACTCTATCCAGTGTGGAAGTTAGAGCTAGGGGCCATTCAGCCATGATAGTGCAGCCTGCTCTGGAAAATCACAGCAGAAATGGAGTTGCACAGAAGGGTCCTCGCATAGCTAACATTGTACATAGATTCAAGTGCTCTGTTGAACCTATAGAAATTGGTGTTGTGCTATCTGGGAAGTTGTGGTCCTCAAGTCAAGCAATCTTCCCAAAAGGTTTGTTTTGGCAGATTGATACACCTCTAGACATCTTGAGCATTTATGATATCAGGGTGAACACTTCTGGATTTTATCATGCTATTGGAATGTTTCCTTATTGTTATCTACTTATCTGAATACCTTCATTCAGAGATTTGAATTTCATCTGCAGTTTGTTCCATATTTTGCTATGTTCTTTTAGCATGTTTTCCCTTTGCAAATGCAGGGTTTAAGAGCAGAGTAAAATACTTCAGTGTTGTAGATCCAGTACAAATGACATGCTACATATCTGAAATATTGGACGCTGGACAGCAGGGACCCCTTTTTATGGTAAATTTTCGTTTTTTGTGCCTTCCATATATTTATACATATCCGTTCTTCAGTGTCTTGATATTTTATTGCATTTACAGGTGACTGTAGAAAACTGTCCTGGTGAAATTTTCATAAACATCTCTCCTACCAAGTGCTGGAACATGGTTCGTGAAAGGCTCAATATGGAAATAAGGAGGCAGATCAATATGGGAAGAGCTAACCTTCCTACACTACAGCCTCCAGGATCAGTTGATGGTCATGAAATGTTCGGGTTGTTAACACCAGCAATAGTTCAGGTGTGGCATTAATGCTTGGCATTCACTTGACATTCTATTCAACACACTGTTACACATGATGGAAATGCTCTTTTATGGTTCTAATTGACATTTTTTTGGAATTTAATGGCAGGCAATTGAGGCTCGGGACAGAGATCACGTCTGTACAGAGTACTGGCGATCAAGGTCCCATGTTACAACTGAGAATCGAGACAACCAGAATATGCCACCTCAGGATCCATTGCTTATTGCACTGAGGGGGCTCTTCCAGCGGGCTAATTGTGATGAACTGCGAGCACTACACGGTTTACTGATGAGCAATAGAACCCTGGATGACAGTTCTAGGCAGCAGGCTTGCCAAATCCTCGATGAGGAGATTGCAAAGCAATGGCACTGACCAGCGTAAATACAGGCTGTTGTACTAACCAATTGCAGTTGGCATGAATTTTTTTGACGGGATCAAGCAGTTTTAACTCTTAAGGCTTGCTTCTTCCATTGCCCTTGTGCCCATTCTTTTCATTCTTGTGACCATACCCAATTCTGTAAGAATTGCTACCTTATTGAGTGATATAGGTGCCTCATCTACTACTATCGTGTTGCAAATTATGATCCTTATTTTTTTTTTCTTGATCAGTTATTGCAAGTGGTGTCAACAAGCATGAGACTACAGCTGCATCACCTGCAAGGAAGTCAAAAGTAAGAAGCACATTCATTTGTAATGACATCATAATGTTCTTTATTCCCATTTCATTGTGGTTCCTCAATATTTCTGAAATAGTTGTGGCTGACTATTATGTTACCAAATGACAAGGGTGAGCAACTTATTATAAGATGTAGCTGGGTCATCATATTCCTTTGTTCTTGAAATCTGTTAACCATGCATGCTTGTCTGATGTAAACCACCCTTAGATTCTGGATACTCGGTCATTATTGAGATTATTCCAGAAGTTGTATTCTTTGTGGAGCAAACAATGATTTATTTATATGTATTCACTTGGCATGCATGGTGTAACTTTAACTAACTGTGTTTCATATAAAATGTATCAGCATTCCATGCCTGTGCCAACTTCCTTTTAACAAACAATATACCCAATTATTCTGAAGGACTGATATGTATCATTCCTTGTTCTACCATGTAAGGACTAGCCGATGAACAGTGACAACTTTGGCTGAATCTCATTTTTATGTAATTTGCAAAATTAATGGCTATTTTCATCTGCAATCAGTAGAGCAATTTTCCTTGTAGTTTTCAATAGAATAGAGAAAAAATGTATTTTCGTTTATGCGTACTTTGCATTTTGCATAGAAGTGGTATACTATATGTCTAGATGAATCGTCATGCACTAGCACACACTCCCTGTGTCCCAGAATAAATCAATTCCTAGAGTTATATCTTAAGCCAAACTTTTTTTAAGTTTGACCTGATTTTATAGAAAAGAACACAAGAGTTATGAAACCAAATTGTTATCATTAGATACACCATAATATATATATATATATATATATATATATATATATATATATATATATATATATATATATATATATATATATATATATATATATATATATATATATATATATATATATATATATATATATATATATAAGGTACTCAATTGGTGTCATAAACATCTGTGCTCTTTTCTATAAATCCGGCAAAATATAAAAAAAAGTTTGACTCAAGACAATTCTAGGAATTGATTTATTTAGAGATGAAGGGAGTATAATGGTTCCTGTTGATTTCTAAGAAATGAAGGCTTCAATGGTCCACTGCCAAAATAAATAATTTCTACCTTTCTAGGTCTTATATATAACACAGAGATGGTAGATGTCACATCGATCTGTAAAGCCTTCCCCCCTCCCCTCCTCTCTACGTTGTTTCTTTCGGAGTACTAGCTGACCTGTCCAAATAGGGATAGCATGGTAGATTCATACAAATATGTAACCTGGTATAAGTTCAATAGGAGGCAAGACAATGAGTCATGACTTCATGAGCTAGACGAGTGCATAGGTCCAGTCCGGAGTCCCAGTCAGCAAAGGTTGAGCTGGGCCTTTGAGAAGTTCCTTATGAATGGATGACGATTTTACAGAGCTATACTGAGGTAATGAGAAAGTATACTTATGCATGTGATTGACATGCGGAATGTAAATTGAGGCCAAAAGAATGAAGATACTGAAAATGAGTCTGAGGTAACATAATTTCTGAATTTGAGCTGTTGCTTTTGCCTTCTGTCACGGACTCGATCTTCAATTCCAGCAGGTAACACGGACACAATAAATCATCTCTGTTTTCCTCAAGTACCTGTCAGTACTGTTAAAGGGAAAAAAAGCATAAATTCACTTCTTCCATTTATGAGAGCAGAAAAAGGAAATGCTGGTTGTGGAGACACTGCATGTTGAGGTGTTTCCGTGTTTGCTATTCAACAATGGTAATGCATGTCATCTGGAACACTGGACAACCGATGGCTTTAGCTAGACGGCACCATGAGTTCTGTAACTTCTGATGGGCAATATTGAACTCGGAACGACATTTTAATTGCAAGTGTTTATGTGCTGCACAAATGGCCAAACCAAGTTGATGATTACTCAAAGGTTATCAAACAGATCAAAGTAAAAATGGAGAACACAGCAGTGAACTAAACATTGTGCAGCAACCTATAGCTGTTACTCTCTCTGTTCCAAATCGCAAGTTGTTTTGGTTTTTCTAGGTATATTGTTTTTGCTATACACCTAGATATATACACTATGACTGATACAAAACAAAAATACATTAGTAACAACAAAGAATCTAGAAAAATCAAAACAGACTTGAAAAATCAAAACAGACTTATAGTTTGGAACGAAGTGAGTGTAAACAGTCAAACCTATGACTAGTTCAGGGCATTGAACAATCCTTGACTTGGCTGCCATCTCTTCACACGCCTTGTCAAATGTAGAGTTGTAGACATCATTGGCAATTTCTTCTTGGTTTTCTGCCAGCTTGCGATGTCGTTCACACCTCCTTTTCCTTGTATAAAATAAAATTTGGCGCAAGGCATGCCACCCTTTTCTTACTAAATTGGCAGCCTCATGAATATTTCTGAACCGAAAGCTATGGGAAGAAATTACATTGCTTTTCTACTCTTGCCACCCGGTGCTTGCGTGCACCATTGCTTATATACTAGGAGCTTGTAGTCTTTGAGAGACATTCCGATGTGTGGAGAGGTCGCTGAGCATGTATGAAATGAGATGTGTGACCAGCGACTTTTTGGCTAGAAACACGATAGTGAAGATGGTGGGACAGGATAGTGAAGATGGCGGGGATCGGTATGGGAGAACCATCACGGAGGCCCACTTGCACAGGAGGACCATTGACTATCCATAGAATTACCTAACTGAGTGGTTGGCCCTCACGTGGGCATCCCTGCGAGGGGCTCCAACGAGGATTAGGCGGAAAGCTGAGCTTCTCGATACCTCGAGAAAAAATCAACGTCGTAAACATGAGTTTGCTTCTCTATCTCATTTAAGCTTCTGCACGTTACATGCTTGTGTGCCTATGTTTGTAGTTTAGCTTGTTAGGCTACTATAGGATTGGATTGTAGGTTGCGTAATTCTTTTCTGATAAAGATAGCAACATACTTAGCAAAATTTTAGTACACATATAAATAGATATCTTGCATAGCTTCTGATAAGTAGAATTAGAGGCCAAGTAGTTTTAGAAAGCCTAATTTACCTCCCCACTCATAGGTGTTACGGTTCCTACACACATATAAAGGGGATGATGTTTTCTCAATCTAGTGAAGCACATATCCCTTATATACTACAGTTCACTTTTCTTCAATCTCCTACTTTAGATTTCAGAAAAGGGAATCTAGTGGAGATGCTATAACTCATGAACTCTTTTATTATGTTTTATATATAGGCATGCGCACATAGCAATTATCAATCCAAAGCTAGACTAAATATTGTTATAGATATGCAACAATTATCAATCCAAAGCTAGGTACGATTGATCGATCGCATGTCATTTATCACTGAACCTGAAGCTTTTTGTTTCTTTTTTTTTTTGGGAATTGAAACATGGAGTTGTTGAGCAAAGACTTTGCATTTCTTTTCCCACACAGTTAAATGACCTAGTAGTGACTTACGAGTGCAGGACCGCTGCACGGCGATCGCTCCTACGTGTTTGGCTTCTTCCGTTGGACCCTGGTGCATGTCTATATCAAACTTGCATAATTGGTTCTAGTTCTAGCTAGTTACCCTCTCTGTGCGTGGTGTATTATGGACAGTAGGACCTCTATCTGAAAACGAGCAGTCCTCGTATGGTTGGACAAGTCACAAGTTCCACTTGCATGTTTTCGCGACGGGCCTAAGTGGGTCAGATTGGTCCATCCATTTTCATTGTACTACCAACCAATTTATCTATCTATTCCTATCTTCTCTTCTTAATATTAATAACGGTAATGCTACATGTCTTATGTCCGACACAAGTAAATCGTCGGACGCTCCCGCAGACCCATCGCTCTGCCCACGAGTTTATTAAAAAAAATCACTCATCCTTATTCCTTCCGCTTCCTCCTCCCCTGTCACAGCGCTTTGCGGCTGGCCCGTCCTGGACGCGGACATGCACTCCCCTCCTTGATGCCGCGCGCCCCATCCGTCGCCGCTCGCTCGCGCCCCTCGCACGCGCCTCTCGCCCCTTCCTGTCAGGCGTGCCGCCCGCTCCCTCCCGTTGCTCGCGCTGGTGCTCGCTCCGCTCATCGCGTGCGCCGCCCGCCTAGTCGACCCAAGCCTAGTGCTGGTGGCGGTGGTGCTTGCGCGCGCCGCTGGTGTGGATGCTAGTGGTGCTCGCGCGCCGCCACTCGCCCGGCTCCCACCCTGACAGCCGGAATTGACCGGCACAGGCGCTCCCCCTTCCCTATGTTGAAAATATATGTTTCAAGTGTTTCGGACATTTCAGAGGTATGTTGCAGTTGTTTCATATAGATGTTGCAAAAGTAGATCGAGGATGTTGCACATGTTGTATATGTTGCAAGTGCTTCAGAGACATGTTCCAAGAGTTTGTTCAAAATATTTTATCTGTTCTAGACATACGTTGCAAGCGTTTTGATCTGGATGTTCCATATGTTGCAACAGTGTGTTCGAAATGTTTTATCTGTTCCAGTCTTCCGTTGCAACAAGTGTTTTCATGTTGCAAGTTGTAAGTGTTCTATCTGAATGTTGCATATGTTTTCGCACATAAATTGCAAGTATATGTTTCATCTGTTTTAGTTTTAGACATATGTTGCATTCAAGTGTTTCATGTTGCATGTATTTCATGCCGAGTCAGGCGACGCGGAGAGTGATGGTGGCACGGCACAGGGGCTGAGGAATGGGGCGCGGTGAGCTGGCGGCCGGCGGACGTGGCGCGCTGGG